TTCCATGCATGATTTATGGATATATTGATGAGTTAAAAAGTTAAGGTTTTTGGATATTAACACTTAATAGACATGCAATATCGCAAAGTTGGAAACTTTATGGTTAAGGACATCATTTGGGGACTAGATCTGGATTTTGGATGAAAGGGCTTAAGGGATTAAGCACTTATTTGGATCATAAGGTGACAAAAGCGTACGCAGGGCATACCAAATGGTACGTTGTGCGTACATGGTCAGCTCCCCGACTTCTGGTCAATGCGGAGTACGCCGTGTGTACGAGTTGAGTATGCCCAGCGTAGTCAGCCAAGTTGACCAGTTTGACTCGTTTGACTTTTGACTTCGACCATGATTTGACTAAGTTTGAACTAGGGTATTTTGAGTATTTTGAACTATAGTCTAAGTATTGGTCACAGTTATATGTAAAGGTGACCAGTAGATTCGGTATTCGGAGCAACGTGTTATTGCAGCTATTTCGTCTATTCGTGAGGTGAGTCTCCTCACTATATCCATGTGTCGAGGCCACTTATGCCAACCCATGATTCGGTTATGTAGAATGCTAGCTGCTATGTGATATGTTTTTTGTGTGATCACGTTAAAATACACCCTAGGGAGGGGCACACTATTGTATGATTGGGATGAAATACACCCCAAGGCGGGGCCCACTATTGTATGTCGGGTTGATATACACCCTAGCATGGGGCCCACTATGATATGTTTGGGTTGAAATATACCCCAGGGTGGGGTCCATATTAGTTTATTGGGTTAAAGTATACCCCAGGGCTAGGCCTAGTTATATGTTTGGTATGTGGTACTTTGGGGGAACTCACTAAGCCTTGTGTTTACAATTTATGTTTTATGGTTTTAGGTACTTCTGGTACAAAAGGGAAGAGCCAGTGTGATGGAACAACATCCTCCCTTCATGATTTGCGCACCTTTTGGATACTATTACTCTAATGATTTTGATATTGTACTTTGTGGATGATTGGGAACAATTTGATGATCGAAACTACTGATTTTAAAAATGAAAATTTTATCACGATTTTTGTGTTGTTACAACATAACAGCTCTACGCCCTGCGTAGAACCTAGGATGGCAAAAATGAGGAAAATGGGGCTACGCCCTGTGCAATAAAGTTTACACCCCACATACTCCCAAAAACCCTAACTTAATCATTAATCTCTTAATACAGGGAGTTAAAAAACCAAACTTTTAGATCTAAACTAGATGGAAATCTTAATGGATAAAGTCTTTGACTTTATCGATTTGCATGTATAACAAGGGCACAAACTAATATCCAAAGTCCAATAAGTCACTCAAAGCTCAAAAACTCATGCATGGATGGATAAGAGTGACTAAGCTCTCATACTAAGCTCTCATTTTTATGACTTGACTACTCTCAAAATTTACTGGAAATGATACCCAAATGGCCAGGAGTAGCTCATACTCATGTGAACCAAGGTTATGGGGACAAAACCTAGAAATTCTTCAGCCTAAACTAGATCTATCATAAAAATTCATCAAGGTGGAGACTTTATACCTCTTGGAGATGGATGGGGGAAAGGAACTTCTGGATTCGAAGCAGATTCAAGCATCCAAGCAACTTCACCACCTTCTTCTTTCTTCAAAATGAACACAAAACACTCTCAAGGCTCAAAAATACACCAAAAGGAATTAGGGTTTAAAATGGAATGTTTAGGGGAATGGAGGATGAGAAAGGAAGGGCCTCAAGAGAGTTAGAGCCCTTAAATCAGGCTAAAAACCCAAATATTAGGGTTTGGACTCTGGGCAGGTATACGTTATGTACCAAGATCTACACCCTGCGTAGATCAGTAAAACTCGACCTCCAAGATACCCTTCTATGCATTGCGGATAAGGCTATCTATGTCCTGTGTAGATACACACCCAACATCAAAACATAAAAGTAAAGGGAAGAAATTTACCTGCAAGGATCGGGTGTTATAAATTTCCCCCACTTGAACTAGATTTCTTCTTTAAAATTATTAGCTGAAAATAGAACCAGATAATGCTCACACATCTTTGACTCAGGCTCCCAGGTCCACTCAGAACCCTTCCTATGCTGCCATCGGACCTTGACCAAAGTTACCACTTTGTTGCGCATGGTCTTCATTTTTCTATCTAGAATAGCCACTGATGTAATGCCCTGTTTCGAATCGTTTCTTATTTCGGGGAAGTGGTCAAAGATTGGGTATCAGCAGGCTTAGGACCTTTGAAGAATTGAGATTTGGACTCATTTGGAGGCGGGTGATGTATTTGGAATATCCGGGGGTTCGGTTTGTGTTTTGGAGCCAAGGGGTATTTCGGAAAGTTTCAGTTCAGGTTTTATGGAAACTAGGTGAGTAACCCCGCGTTGCGGGGTCAGGTGTGAGATTTTTTTTCGGTCTATCTTCATAGACTATTTGTTTATGCTTTGAACAGTGTCATAGTTGATATCAACATCAAGACATAGGAAATATTACATAGTTGACATACATATGGTTGTAGCACCATATGTATGGTAGGAAATATTACATAGTTGACATACATATGGTATTAGATATTACATTTTCTTTTTTGGTGTGCGATGTGGAGTTTGTTTTTGGTGTACTGATTTTGTTGTATCAGATTATCCGATGTGGCGACCATATTCTCCTTAACTGGATCTCTTGCATCTTCTTCCGTTGGGGAGGGTGGTATTTTGGTGTCGGTTGTTGACATCGTGTAAAAAGTCTAACAACGTAAAGACCCCCACAAAATCATAAGAAAACATGTAAATAATTATAAAAACAAAATATGTATAAACTTATTGATCAATAATCAACTGATAATCAATTGTAACTGTTGCCTACTTACTACTTTCTATTATAACCTTCTCTACAAATAACAACATAGCACATATAGGGGTTGTTGTCATCTCAGTCTCATTCCTTTTTTAATCACAAATCTCACCTTATGTGATACCTGTTGCAAAGATAAAAAGGCAGAGGCTCAACTAAGCTGTAACTGTGCCAACCCCTAAAACCTTTGCTGCATAAGGAAAGCAAAAACAGATTACTCATTAATAAATTAATATTTCATGGTTTTTTTTTTTATTTACCCAATGATCAAGAAGGCTTTTTTCTTGTTAATTATAGGATTTTGTAGAAAAGATTTAATGGAAATAATCCACCGATTTGCATTTGCCATCTGTTTCATCGATTGACCACTCCACGAGTAAAGAAGATGTAAAAGTTAGCGAAATCCCCCTCCATGGTGAGGAAACATTTTCTTTGATGAAATAGGTGGCAAAGGCAAATGGGGTCCAATCTTATTTCTTCAGTGGGTTGTTTTAACTTCTAATAAACATGAAGGTAAATTCACACAACTATCATTTAGGCACAAATCTTTTTAGGCAGTTTACAAAATTTCAAATAAAAATAGGACTTTAGCTTAAAATCATTAATGTGCTGATTCAAGATTTTTTATAAAATTGATCACCTACTTCGGCCGAAAATAAAATTAGAATAGTGTTACCATGGAATGTTGTATTTTGAAAGGTTTATACAAACCTGGTCTTTTTCTTAGATTAGATAATTGTCATCTTCAAGGAAATGGACCTGTTAGACCACAAAGAAAAAAAAAAAAAAAATATATATATATATATATATATATATATATATATATATATATATATATATATATATATATATATATATATATATATATATATATATATATATATATATATACAAAGCAGGTTCCAATCAGTTGAGCTACCAATTTTGTAACTAACTGTAATTTTATTTCTATCAGTTGTTGCCTAAATGACATTAACTCTTTTATAAATGAACAACCCGTATATATGACAACTTTCTTACTTTAGCTGTGTTTTAGCACAAGCTAAATATAAAACTTTCATCATTTTAGTCCTCCATTTTGAACTGAGGCAAGTTAGGTAAGAAGCTTCAGATTTTCAAAGGGTATTTTGGTCTTTTACCATAGTTAAAAATACGTTGCTAGTTTTTGATTTATTTGTAAAAGCTAAAAAATTGCTTGAAATCTAGAAAGTCGAAATCTCATGCACATGTCTACTCTATTTTCCAAACAAACTTTACAAAATGTAAAATATTTTAATAAGCACTTGCAAATCGTTTGGAAGAAATAGTAACACACATTTAAACCTTGGCCAGGAAATAACAACACAGTTTTAAAACCAATTATAAAGCTTTAAAAGTATTTTGTTATTTTTTGATGTCAGATTAAAAGTTTATATTACCCTATTGAAAAGACAGGTTTGTCATACCCTGTTGTAATGCAAGTTGAGACTCCTGTCAAATGTAGATGTTGGCAATGTAACATGATTTACCTTGGCAATGTCCAGGCTGTTTGTGAAATCAAGTTCTTTGGCATTGATTTCATATGGTATTGTTTTCCATTATATACACCGTTGAACATGTTATCTGCATCAACAGATTAAAAAACACCAACCAATAACAAAAGCAGTAAAATTTCATGAAGCTTTGCTAGACTTTTGTCAAACTGATTGCTTCATTTGTTGTTGTTTCTCCATTTTTACTGTAAAAAAAAAAATCAATTACACAACTTGTCCTAAACCGATTATATGCCCCTGCCACATGTCAAATACATTAAAAAGAATTAATACATAAATCCTATGGTTTGCAATAACATATAGTAAATAGTTGGAAATAAAGAAGAAATATATTTCACTATATAAATCTCTGACACACAAATGTTGAACCAATGTTCACAGGCCCTCACCAATGCTCTGCAAACAATGAGCTGCTTCTTTTTCTACTATATCATAAAACCGCTATATTTACATAACTTAATGCAGAAAATACTTCAATTTGAAAAAAAAAAGTTTAAATGCAATGAGACATTAACACTAACAGTAACGCTTTTTATTAAGACCACAACAGGTTACGCTAACCTCTCTGGTCCTCCTGCACAACCATCCGTTCAGATACTTCTGAAAGAGAGTTAAGATTGCAGTTAATCAACGCCTACACAAAGTAACACGTGTCATCCTTTGTGTTTCCATCAGGAATATCCACCACGAATGACTCAATCACTAATGTTCCTGATCTTCCTTCTATTATCTCTGGATGAACAGTCAGAATTGAGGAATAATTCTGTAAAAGTTTCAGAAAAAATGAATATAAAAATGGAGATTAAGAGATTGAGAATTTGATTTTGATCATATATCTTTAGCCTGTGGTCACCACCAACGATTTTGATGCCAAGGATGTGTTCGTTGTCATCAAGAAGTTCTAACCTTTAAGTACTGGTGGTGGCAGGAAGCCCTGATTTGACATTCACCTGTCGAACACTGCCTATGTTAAGATCCCCATGCATAGTACACCTGCTCACAAATGGTTTGGACTTTTGAGGTTGATCAAATCTCCTAACTAATGAGCAAACCTGAAAAAGAAAATCGAATGAAACTGTTAAAGAACAAAGGTTGATACTTGACTAAATATGTCAATAACATTGAGTCACGTGCAAGAAAGGCGTCTCCTCAATGATCGATTTATATATATATATATATATATATATATATATATATATATATATATATATATATATATATATATATATATATATCGATCAAAAATTTTAGTTTGTATACATTTAAAAAATTCCAAGGTCAACACAGAAAAGAACACAAACACCGGTGAACACATTAGCGACGCAGGACTTCTTTGATGTTGATGCCTCGGTTAGCGACGACTCATGGTGGAGGAACAAACGCATCGCTGGTTGAGTGGATGTTAGTTTGGAGAAAATCGATACCTGTACGTGTACGTTTCAGGTGATGGATCAGAGCACCGATTTAGGGTTTAATGGCTTGGATGAAGGAGTAGCGGTGGTACTGTGGTGACCTTCTGCAGCAGATCCGTCCCAGTAGTGGTAGTATGAAGTCATCGACAGTACCATTCTGTGATTGGGTTAGACGTTTAGGCTTCGTTTTGGGCTTAGACGTTTTGGGCCCTGTTGGGCCATTAGGTTCTAGATTGATAATTATTTTGAAAGGCCTACTATGGGATTTGGGCCCAATTTGGAATATTGGGCCATGGTTTTGGCCTTGGATGGGTAATTAGGGTTAGGCCATTGGATTGTTGGATTGGGTCTTGGCCTTGGGCCAAGTTATGGAGAGGGTAAAAAGGTCTTTTACTCTAGTTCAGACTTTTAGTATGAGTTGGATCCCAATATTTCTTTGGATTATGTTTTGTGATTATAGCGTGGGGATTTTAGCGGGCCAGCAGCCAAAGATTTATCTGCGGGGTTCAGAAGTGCAATGTAAGTCTCCTCACTGAGTTTAGTGGGTCGAAGGCACCAATTTTGGCCCATGGTTTATATGTTCGGATGCTAGATATCCGCGTGACTCTTACATGTGTTATGTGATGGTATGCTTACCGTGAAAGGCTCGATGCCAGGTGAGGCCTGATGAGTATATTGTATGCTAGTTATCAGTATATGTTTTTATGCTTACCGGGAAAGGCCCAATGCCAGGCTGGGCCTGATGAGTATAATGTAAGCTAATTATCGACATATGTTTTTATTCTGACAAGGCCCGATGTCGGGCGGGGCTCGATGACTGTATGGTATGCTATGGTCTTTGTGTTTATTGCATGTGCTAGTAAGATTATATGTTTACATGATTATATGGTTATTTGATTAAGTGTGCATCAGGCGGGGCCCGATGTCAAGTGGGGCCTGGTGATTCTTGTAATCCGAGCGGGGCTCGATGCCAGGCGGGGCCCGAGGCTGAGTGGGGCTTGATGTCGGGTGAGGCCGAGGCCGAGTGGGACTCGAGACTGGGCGGGGGCCCAATATGTAATTTATGTATGTATGGTATGTGTTATCTTGGGGAATTCACTAAGCTTTGTTCTTATGGTTTTTAGCTTATGTTTCAGATACTTCGGTTTTCAAATGGAAGAGCTCAAGATGATTGTAGAGCGCACACCACATATTTCCGCATTCTGTGATTTACTCTGATAACTATGATGTATTAATAGAGCTTTGATTTCCTTGGTTTATGAAATTAAGGTGATGTACTATTTTCATAATTTAAAAATCAAAAGTTTTTGGTTCTTATAAGTGGGACGTAACAAGTTGGTATCAGAGTCTTGGTTTGAGGGATTCGGGCACACTCTCGGGTATGTCTGAACTCAAACTGAGGATTTGGTAAAAATTTTCAAAAAAGAAAGAAAAATGATTTAAAAGGGGAAAACAAGTTTTCTAATACAAGAATGGGTGTGGTGCATGCAATCGACCGGACCCAAGTAAGTTTCTCCCAAAAAAAACCCATACATGTTATATAATATGATTTAATTTATGAATCTATGAATCACATGATAGTTAGGGCTAAGGATATACTCAGTGTGTGCATGGTAGAATGATAGGAGTGATGCCTTTGTATGACTGTTATTTGATCATGTAGACTTTCATGCTAGTTCTAATTAGTCACTGGTAGATTGGCCTGATATATGATGCCTTGTAGCCTAGGAAGGATGGGATGCTAGATTGGGTATAATTTGTATGCGTAAGGTAATCAGTAGCAGGAGTGGGAGCTCCAAGTATGAGTTGTAGTATGTCGGATTGGATGCTTCCGATTATTCTATGGATTGGAATGTTACTGCATGAATGTTGCTTGCTTTGTGCTTTCTAGAACTCATAAGTGATGTGAGTTAACTATTAACTGAATATGTCAAGTCACATGTGGCAAAGGTTGGATAATCTTAGAGTGACAGATTAGACCCTATTGCACAGCTCTTGTTTGAGTCTAACCGTTGTAGGGATGAGTCTCTTACTCGAAGGCTTATCTAAGCTTTGTTGACATTATGAGAAGTTCTTCAGCAGCTGATGGCAGGGTGGGAACCTACGAAAGCCTAGGGAATGCTTCAGCGGGTTTTGTTGTGCTGGTTAGTGAGTGTTTGGTGTATGGATTTAAGAATATGACTTAGAGGATTCGAGAGGATTCTTGAGGAAAGTATGGGTAGGTGTGTAAGGTAGTATTGGGCCCGTACCACTGAAAGCACAGGATCCATACTCGAATCGGGGAGAGTCTTGGAGAATCTAGGAAGCCTGTAAGATGAGGATTCATGGGTATGTTCTGATCTTTTGCATGTTGTTTTCGGTATGGTGTTGAGCACTCAAGAATGGGGTTCACGTTCTGGTATCAGCTCAGGTGCAGGTACTGAGCCGATCGATGCGCAGATGTGGGAGTTCATCTCATCGGAGATTACTCAAGGTATTTTGGAATGGACCCCGGTGATATTTTGTTCAGTCAAAGAAGGGATTTTGCAGCTCTTGGATGGTCATCTCGGGGCCTTCAGGGCGAGATTGTAGCGGGGAAAGTCCATTATGTTTCCGCTGAAATCAAGTGGGCCACAAGAAGGCCGACTGTCAGATGTTGAGGGGTGTAGTAGTGAGTGCATCTACTCCGGTTTCTTCGAGGATCTCTTATGGTCGTAAGGATGGGGCAAGAGCCCCAGCTGGGAGGACCTGAGGATTGCAGTGTCAGTCGGGGGAGGTCAGGATTACTTCAGGTGCTATTACGAATATGTTATCTTCTGCTTTCTTCTGGGTTATCATCGAAAATTTGTATTGCTTTGGAATTTTTCTTCGGTTTGGGTAAGCAATATCTCGGGTTTTATTTTCTGCTATTGTCTGTGTTACATTATCAAGGATTGTTATATGCCATTGTGCATGCCGAAAGTCTCTTATGAATCATTAGTGGGTCGCATCTTGTTAAGCGGGTTTCAATGTGTTCGGTTGCTATTTCAGTTCTGGATGGGATCAATCCAGGGGGTATTGTTTGGAGGATCTTTTTTCAGAGTTAGCAGGTTAGTTCTCCAGTGAAGTCAAGGCATAGTTGTTTTATCTTTTGATCTGGTGGGATCGGCATTCGTCTATGGAAGAACTTTTGGGATTTAAACACTACTGTTACTAGGGGAGGAGCGGTAGTAAGAGGATGGTGGTGATGGTTGCAGGAGTTACTTGCTCGTTGTAAGTGTATGGGGGAATTTTGTATTTCGCATGGGTGGTAGATGGTTAGAATTCAGTAATTCTTTGAGGATGGAAGTTAGGGTGAAGATTCGCCAGTTCAGAGCAAGGGTTATGGTTTTTAGTCTCCAACATAAGAACTTAAGGATTTGGTGTGGTGTCATGGTAATCATTTAGGATTATCGGGATGTTGGAATCTCTGGGAGTATCTATATGAATTTCAGGAGTTGGGCGATCATAGAGTTGGCTAGTAATGGAACGCTAGTATTGGTAAGCACATGTCATACGCGGTTCATGATATATGAGGTTTGATGGGTTGGGAGTCCATCAGATTTATGGGATGAGAAATCTTCGTTGAATTTAAGTGGGGGAGAATCGATTAGAATTTATGGGAGTTGGATTGGGTGTGGAACTACGGCAAGTTTCACATCCCGGTTAGGAGGAGAGATGACCCAATTGGTCGTTTGGATTGAGGATGTGCAAGTGGGAGTTCGGGAAACTTCCGACAGTTGGTCGGCATCTTCTTTGTTATGCATAGCAGTCTTATGGATGGATCCATGTTGAGGGTTGTGTTAGAGCCTCACTGCCTATTCTTGTCTAATGAAGGCTTTGGTCTTCGAAGCATGACCTGAACACCTGATTGATTTCAGTCGAATTTGGGTTCGATTCGGGATAATTGGGGTTGAGATGGTTTAGGTGTGGTGAAATCAGGGATGGTAACCATAGTTGGTTTGAAGTATTATAAGAATGTGATGGGATATAACATTCACCAGTTGAGGTAGCCTATCGATGAGGTGGTCACGAGTTTAGAGGAGGATCAGTTCATTCCTTGGGCACGACGGACATGATTGTCGAGGTACATTTCTCTGTTTTAGGTTCAGGACCATTGGGGTACGAGGTGGAGTCGGGCCTATGTAGCTCTATATGGGTGGGACCCATGGGCGAGGCCGGTCTGTGGTATAGTTGGGTGGGACCCGTGGGCGAGGACCGTGTGTATATGGCAATGCAGGTGGGACCTGTTAGAGACCGTTGGGTCAATGTTATAGATCTTGGGTTACATGACTGAGTGTGTGGTCAGTGTGTGACGCAAAAGGGTATATAGGTTGGGTAGCCTTGTTACTTGGACTCTTGGGAACCTGGTGGTAGGACCAGGTGCGAGACTGGTAGTCTCTGCAATGGGTCGAGAACCTTTATGTATTCCAGGTTGGTTTTCGGGTGGGAACTCGCATTAGGAATCACGAGTGGTTATGTGCAGGATTTTCTTTTCAGCAAGAATCGAATTAAGGAATCCACATGTCAGGGGCATCAGTTGAAGGGTTCAGGGGTAAAGAATGGATTCAGTTTTGATGGTAGATCAGGCCCTTGTGATTGTGTTTTGGATTGGTTCTATATTTGAGGGGCATCAAGATAAGTCAAGGTAGTATTAGTGATTTAAGACTCGTCTGTGGTGCCGCTTGTTATTCGAAGAATATGCTAAGACACTTGCAATTTGGATTAAATAATCTCAGAGTAAATGATTGGACCCTGTTGCGCAACTCTCATCAGAGTCTAACCGTTGCATGGATGAGTCTTCTACTCGAAGCATTATATGAGCCTTTTGTTAAGTATAAGTCTTCTACAACAATGAATGGTCAGTCATTTTGTTCCCAATAGAAGCATCAAGTCAATCAAGAGTAGGAAGCGTTTTGTTTGAGTCTAGACTTCAATGACGATTCGACCTGGTAGTGGTTCAGTATGAGCGGTCTGTCGGGGAGTCAGGCCAATTCGAGAATTCAGGTTTCGGGAAAGTAGAGGTGGTTTTCTGAAAGGGTTTAACGATTCGTTCATCTTCGGCTTGGAGAGACCTGCTAAGGTTGGTTCCGGTTGCCTTGGAACGGTTGTGGTATGCTCGGGGATGTATCCGTGTTGCACGGTTGTCTGGCGTGCAG